GCCAAAGAAGCGGTTTGTGCCCCTCTCTAACAAAGATTGCATTGAAAATAAGGACCTTCTAAGCACTGGCCAGATTACACCAAATTTCACAGTGTGGACAGGCCCTCTTCTGGAGTCCCAATTAGAGGAGACCCATTGAAAAAGAATGTGGTCTATGTAATGACCCTTCACCAGTCAGTGGATCCACATAATTTCACAGTGTGGACAGGCCCTCTTCTGAGTCCCAGTTAGAAGAGACCCATTGAAAAAGAATGTGGCCTATGTAATGGCCCTTCACCAGTCAGTGGATCCACACTAGCCAAAATAAGCCTTTTGCTTAGCTCTAAGAATCTAGAGATAAGCCTTTTGCTTAGCTCTAAGAATCTATTCTTAGAGCTAAGCAAAAGGGGACGTGGTGGCGCTGCAGGTTAAACGGCAGAAGCCTCTGTGCTGCAAGGTCAGAAGACCAGCAGTCGTAAGATCGAATCCACGTGACGGAGTCTACAAACGCTGGCTCTATAGTCGTAAGATCGAATCCACGTGACGGAATCTACAAACGCTGGCTCTACGGGATGAGCACCACGCCCTAAACCCGGACATAACTGGACTAAATGTCAAGGGGAACTTTTACATTTACCTAAGAATCTATTTCATCTGTATTAAGCTAGTTTTAACTGTTACAGTCAATGTTCTCTCTAATTTTCAGCCTCACATGGACAACTCTGCCTCCCCCCCCCATGGGTTTCCATTACAATTGGAACCAAAGGGCCAGAAAATTATCACTGTGGATGAACAGAGAAGGAGGAGACCTGTGTGGAGGGGGCAAAGTCATGTGTGCATGGAGATGCAACATTAGAGGAAACTTTAGTCGCAGCCTCCTCATAAAATCCATAGCAGCTTTGTATAATGTTGGGTTTTGTAGCCTTATGAAGGTGGTGAATTTTTAGAAATCCCTTCAAAGAATTATAGTTCTCAGAGGTTCCACAATGCACAGGAGATCTTGGAGAGTTTCTGAGACCATGTGTTTATTAACTATAAGTTATGCTTACATCTCTTCTCTCCTCAAATGAACTCAAGACAACAAACGTGCTCTCTTCTTCCCCCATGTTTTCCTCACAAAAAACTCTGTGAGATGAGGGAAGCAGAGAGAAATTGGTCAGCCCAGGGTCAATCAGGGAGTTCCATGGCAAAATGGAAACTGTAATCCAGATCCTCTGAGTTCCATTCCAGGGATCTGACCACCACAGTGCACAAGACATGTGAAATTGTAAAGCAAAATGGTTGCTTTTGATGTTGGTGAAAGTTTAAGCTGGGACCATGGGAGAGTGAACTGAAAGGTGTTTCATGGACACGCATATAGGCCTCATCAATACATCCTATTTGCTTCTGTTGAAAGGAGGTCCTGTTGCCCATTGATTTAGATTAGTTTAACAGATCTACAGGACATTACTGGAGATTCAGATCCCTTTCACTTCTCTGCTGCTTTAGGATTATTTTGCTTCGCTTGGAAACCTTTTCTTTCCTTTCCTTACTTTTCCCTTTCCCTTCGCCCCCCCTCCCATTTATAGCTGGCTGGATAGTTAAATGGTTTAGGTATTTAGCTGTGGAGACTGAGGTTGGAAGTTCTCTTTCCCTTTGTGCTTTCTTTGAGTACAACCAGCCTGTGGGGCCTTGGGAAAGCTGCACAGTCCCAGGGTGCCCCTGGAAGAAGGGAGTGGTAAATCGTTTCTGAGTATTTGCTACCTGGAAAATCCTAAAAGAGAATCACCATAAGTCAAAATGGACTTGGTGGCATATGATGATGAATATTTATTCCAGATATGTGATCCTCATCTGTTTCTTTGTCCTAACCAAAGCTGGCTCCTATGGGCTGTGCACAATTCAAAATCCTATGACCACAACTATGGTATCATCTGTGGGAGTTCCTTTCCTCTGCTTCTCACTGTGGGAAGGAAACAAGGAGTGGAGACAGGACACAAAACAGAGAGGGAAGAAGGGGGACATGGGGGAGGAAAAAGCGGGAGGATGTCTTGTGGTGTGGAAATCCAAATTGGAAGGATCCACATTACATTCAAGGAAAAACAAATGCAGGCATGGAAGCTTGGATACACGAGGAAAAGAGTCCACCCTTTCAACTTGTCTCAGTCCAAGTCTCACACCTCATGGGGAGAAGCCCAGATGCTAAAGGTTTTATAAACAGGTTTCACTGGAGAGAGGAAATTGTTATTGGGTTGGTGGTGGAAGAAGACAGATCTTAATTATATCAGTATCTGTTGAGGGAAAGGAAAGGCCATGGTTAATTTAAATGTCAGGGAAAGTGCCAGTGAAAAAATGAGTAGAATGAGCTGATTATGGAGACTGTAGATTCTCTTTCTGGAAAGTTTCTTGAGGGAATGGTTCGCTGGCAGTGGTTGGAAATGTTTTAGATCAGCCTTCACCTATTATTTGCTCTCAAGAAGAGGGCTACTCCTGTTGACCATGCTAGCTAGTGTTGATGGGGTTACAGTCCAACATACACGGAGGGCACCAGATTAAAGCAAGCTGCTTTAGATGCACAAGTTGGATTACTTCAAGTCTCTCACGTCTGATTTGTACATTTATGTGTAGAGATGGGCATGAACTGTCGTCCGAGGGTTTGGCCCAGTTTGGTGCAGCACCCATACAGTTTGGTCACAAGCACCACACACCCTGGTCTCCCACCTCCTCTATGTGTTGGCCCATTTCCCATCTGAAATGCACTTCCCTTCCCCACCTGCTCAGCGCATTTGCCGACTGAAGACAAGGAGTGGGGCAGGGATCCCTGCTGTGCTTCCTTTGTGTGGGCAGAGGAGGGAAGTGCATGCTGTGATTGGTGAATGGGCAAACTGTGCTGAGGAGGCAGGGGAGGGAAGGATACTTCAGCCAGAGAATGGGCAAGCACACAGAGGAGGCAGGAGAGGGGAGTATATGGTGCCCGCAGAGCACCTGTTGCTGTGCTGAACTGGACCAAACTGCCAGACTGCAGTTCGTGCCCATCTCTGTTTATGTGTGATGTGAATTAAAAAAAGCTTCAGGGTAAACACTTTAGGGAGTGTATGGCATTATTACGGTTTCACTATGGAGAAAGTCCTTTTGTATAGTGTCTTGCTTCTTATTTCCTTCCTTCCTTTTAATACAGTATATTTCTACTAAAGAAGGCAGACAGCAGAAGATCTTAGAACACTGATGGGTTGTTTTCATGCTAGCTGTGGCTTGTTCATTGGGGCAAATGGGGTGCTGTCCCACCTTGGGCCGCCTCTAGCTGGCCAGCTCTTGCCTGCTTCCTTGCCTGAAGTGGAAGGTTTGGTCACTCCTGTGTTCCTCACCTGCTGAACTCCTGACTTTGTCACACTCTTTGTATGTCTGGAAGAGAGGATGAGGGCTTGAGGAAAGGAAGGAAGGAAAGAATGGGAGGGAAAATGTCAGCTTCTTGGCTTTGGACAAAAGGAAGCACCATCTATGATTTTTTTTCTAATCTGAGGTGAGGTATATTATTCTCTTCGCTGGGTTGTGGAATGAATGAATGGAGTGTGGGGTCATGCAGGGTTTGAGTCAATAAATGCCTGCTTCTATGTGTACAGGAGTACCCCTTTTTGCTCAAGTTCTGTCTCTTACCCCTCTTCATTTGGGACTGGCTGCTTTGCCTACCACCCTATCAACACTAGACATTAGCAGCATTGCTTCATATGTTCATGGTCTACTTCGTTGTTGCTCTTGCATAAACTTACAAACCAGAGTTTCACCCAATTTAGCATGGATAAGTGATGGAATGCCTTCCATCTACAAATCTAACTCTGTTTACTCTAAGCTTTTTTCATGTGAGCAGTATAAAGTAAGGTGGTGATGGGGAATCCTCATGGTGTTTCTCTTATTAAGCAACCGAGAGTCTGAAGACTTTTTACCAATGTATTGCAGATCTCATGGAGATCTCCAAGCACTGTAAAACTGAGTCTATCTTCTTCCCCTCCCTAATCCTTAAAGCATGGGTCCTCTAATCTGGTATGTATTGATTTTAGAGAAGGAAGGCTTGTGTAGAACAATAGCTTGTCTGTGTCAGAGAGAGGCAGGGCAAGCATATGTGCTTGGTTTCATGTTAAGGATGCTGAAAAAATTCAGTCTTCAAAATTCCACCCTGAATGAACTTGACCGGTACCTCCTGAGTTGACTGGCAGATTGGAAAGCTTGCCTCCACTGGATTTGATGCCACTTTAGATGTTGTGACAAGGCCCTCAGTTTATATATAGAAATGAACATTTTTGTTCAGATGTTTTGAATTGCAGATGAATGTGGAGATGCAATAGAATGGGTGAATGATACTTGCAGAGGTTAAGAAGATGACAGACCAGCACCTGTTGTGTGTTTGGAAAAAGAGAGCCAAGTCTGGTACCGTCAGGCAAAGTTTTGTTAATACATGGAGCAGTGGAAGCATTTCGGGATGATCTCTCCTTTCTCATGAGTGAAACCCGTACACATGCAGATAATAGCAGTTTTTTGTACGGTTGGCTACGTTTACAAAGAATTTTGCTTGGAATGAATGGGAGTCTATCCCTGAAATGGCTCAGCTACTCATTGGATAAATGCACCTTTTCCTGACAGTACTGGATCTTGGGCCAGAAAGAGACCTAGAGGTAGCCTGTAAAAAATCTGAAAACATGTCAGAGAGAGAAGACTGAGGCAGTCTTCTAGGGTTTGTAAAATCAGATTTCCAAGACCCTTCCATTGCTCCCCGCTCTATTTAAGTCTTTCCTGAAGACCAATCATGAAACAAAGCAAGCTAACTATGTACTCCTGAAGATGAGATAAACTCCTGCTGTGACACTGAGGTATTTGCATTACTTTAGGATGTTTCCCTTTTAGTCATGGACTATCTCTCATGCCTGTTTATGCTCTTTGAACGCTTGACATGGAACACTTTCAGAAGCCTTCCGTGTCAAGGAAAGAGGAATCAACCCACCTCATAGGTATTCCATCTTACATGATTCACTGATGTGTTTCTCTTTTAGATTTCCTATCCCCCAAGTGATGAGGATGGGAGTGATGATTCTGAAGGAGAGAACCAGGAACTGGCTCAGATTGACAGAGGTAAACTGTTGGAACAGTTGGAAAGGATGCAGAATGTAGGACTTAAACCATCACAGTTAAGTTGTGGGTTGTGAACACATGGTCTGGGAAATCAATAGTTGTAGTAGATTCTTAGCAGAGCTCAGAGAATCAGTGAGGGGGGATGGCCAAAATCTCTAAACCAGTATGGCCCTCCTGGGTGGAAGGTTCTGTGAGCTAGAGCCCGGAGAATAATTTTTCCAAACTGCTTCCTTGTGTATTTATCTCACTTTGCTCTCACTCTAGAGTGGTATAAATATACCAGATGAGCGGGATATAAATCAAATAAATAAATAAATAAATAAATAAATACATACATACATACATACATACATACATACATACATACATACATACATACATACATACATACATACATACATACATACATACATACATACATACATACATACATACATACATACATACATACATACATACATACATACTCTGGGAGTAAACATGAGGATGCTGCATTTGTCTAATAGTAGAGCCGCCAAACCACCACCACACAATCCACAAAGCAACTGTTCTTGTCTGATTTTAGAAGCTAAACAGGGCCAAGGCTGGTTCATACTTGCATAGGAGACCATCAGGAAATATAAGAGATTTTCAGGTAGGGCCAGGAAAGAATCCTGCCGAAAACTCTGAAGAGCTGCTGATAGTTATACTCAACAATACTGGGCCAAATTGACCCTTGGACTTACTTCATGTGAGAGAGTGCCGTGGGTACCTCAGTTATAGTTGTCATATTAAGATCTTGCCTGTCTCTTGCTTTCTATAAAATAAATCTAATATCCTTCCTCAGAAAGAAGACGGAATTGCACCTTAATGCCCTTGGCGAACAACCAGCTGCAGAATCAAGAAAATCAGTGCTGCAAAGTACGGGCTCATTATCCTCCTGGGCTGGACCACCACAGCTCTGAAGAAGAGCTGGAATGCATCAACCGTGAATTTGCCGCCGAGAAACGCAAGTGGTCGCAAGTCAACAGACTGGCTTGCTGTGGTGATAGCTACAACACCTCCTCTAGCGATGAGGAAGTAAAGAACTTGTGCAGCATGTCCTTCCGGCCTGTGGTGGATGCAGCAGAGAACTTGCATGCCAGCCCCAGTCCGGTGCTCTTTAGTGCCTCTCCTCCCAAGAGACTCCATCCCTTAGTACGGTCTCCAGTCTCTCGGCCTCTCATATTCACCAGCGTCAGTGCCAGCTTTGAGCAAGCAATGCCATGCAAGCGACACCGGCAAGGCTATGGAGACAAGATTGCTCGGCCCAGCCTAGACCTAGAAAAAATGCAACAGGTAAGGCTGTGTTCAGTTCATTGTGGCTTCATTCTTGTTGACTTTTCTGTAGACTTTGCAGTAGATGTGTTGGAAGATGATTGCTCAGACATTTCCTGCTGGCTTGTAACTACGTTTAGCTGGAACGGGTTTGGCTTCCCCCAAACCTTTCCATTCCCGTTGCCCAAAAGCCTTCTGCAACTAGTGTTTGAGAAGAAAGGGTTTGGAATTTTTTTGTTTCTGCTCAACAAGTATCCCTTGAGCCTGATTTCATTTTCCAATCTTTTCTGCCTGTCTGCTCTGGACATAATTTCATTTTAATCTTAACAGGACACCATCTTATTGGGTTGTGCTCCTGTTTCATTACAAAAACACAAAGCCTGGAAATAATGTCTTCCAAGTAGAGTTGGGCCGTGCCCCGCCTCCTCAGGCAACTACCTCTGAGTGGGCACCTGCCTGAGGAGGCTGGGCTGAGAAGCTCTAAACACCTGTTACCTGAAGTACAAACCAGGCTGAATTGCCGAAGCGGCAGTTTGTGCCCATCTCTATTTCCAAGTATTAACAGTAACATTTTTGTGTTATTTGGGAAGATAACAGTGTTCCCTCTTTGTGTTATTACTTTAATTTATTACTTTTTTGCTGTAATAAGTAGTGCTTACTTGTTGATTTTACTTTGGCATTATTTCTGAGTAATTGTTGACAATGTGAGTAATGGTTGACCAGGTTTGTATTATTTTTACAGATTTTTTTAAAATTAAAAAAGCTTTTTAAAAAGTAATTTTCACAAATAATGATAATGTATTACTTTTTTAAAAAATGGAATATTATCGACACAGTAGCTACATAAAATAATGTACCAAGCTTGGGGGTGGGGGGGAACCAAACGTTGTCCTCCAGAACGGGAACCCTTAACACTGTGGCAGAACATCTGCTTGCTTGTAGAAAGTCTCAGATTCATCTCCTGAAAGCTCCTGATAAAATTGTTGTATAACAGGAGAAATGGAAAAGACCATATCTCTAGACCCTAGGTTGCTTCTGTCATTCTGAGCAGACGACACTGCATTAGTAGTTTATTTACTTATTTATTTATTAAATTTATACCCCGCCCATCTAGACCAAAGTCTACTATGGGCGGCTAACAATAATAGAGAAAATAAAAACAATATAATAAAATAAAAACAACAGTATTAATATAGTTCAAGATGGGAAAAATAATCAGTTTGATTTGACACAAAGCAACTTCCTATGTTCCTATGTTGTCCGCACAATTTTCTGCTTCTCTCCTTTCTGCGCGGAAGCACTTTCATCTTTTTTACCTGCTGACATTTCATCAGCTTAGACCCTGGTGTCCCATCGCCTTGCGTACTGGTTCTGATGGTGGTTGCATTGTTCTGCTGCAGCGAGTTGGAAGGATCAGCTGCCCCATCTGGTTGTCAAGCCATGCTACTTGTGCCTTTACAGAAAAGTGTTTGGTTCAGTATGCATGCTTCTTGCACTTGGCTCTCTTCCCATCTTTCCTCTTCTTCTTCTTTAATTCTCTCTGGTTTTTTTTAATTGGGCTGAAATGGTTTGGCTTGCTTGTAAAGGCACAGCTACATTTACAGAGTATTGTATGGTCTTTTGCATCCCTTGATCACTGTCCTTGGGCAATGTCCTAATTAAAACCAGGACCTACTGCCAGCCATATGTATTTTAATGAGGGCTTTGTGCTTGTGTCCCAGAAAGACCAGGGTCACCGTTGGCCTCTGGCAAGGGGTATGGCCTCTGCTTTTCAGGGTAGCCAATCAGGAAGCACATAGGGCATGAGGCAGATGGTCTGTGTTTGTCCATGTGAGCAGTGGGAGAACTGTTTTGATTCCTTGAGGTGATGGTAATTCAAAAGTGGTAAAAGAGGACCAAGATCTCTGCCTTTTCTAGTAGTGACAGAAGATTGGATTTTACTACGAGCCATAGCTTACCAGGCAACATTAAGATAAGTTTCCTGCATTGAAATTTTTAGAGCCTGGAAGTGACAACCAAAGGGTGGACTCCTATTGACATGTGTGAGAGGTTTGTGTAACTTCTGTGCCTAGTTGCAGTTATTTGACAAGATGATAGGGCGTTTTTTGTTGTTGTTTTTTTTTTGGTTCGTAGAACTACAGTACTGAATAGCTCATTGGCTTAGGTATCTGACTGGAGTCTGAGGTTGAGAGTTCAGTTCCTCACTTTGCCTCCTTAGCAGGACTTGGTGATCCATAGGGTCCCATCCAGCGCTGCAGGTGTGAGATTATTATTTATTATGTGCCTGCTCCTACACTTGTTCCAATGTTCTCTCTAATTTTTGGTCCTGCTGTGTGGGAGTCTTGTTCCATGTGTGAGCAGGGCTTCATTCAAAATGGAAAATAAACATGCTGGCAGCCTATGCACAGTCCCGATGGAGCTCTGGGTGAGCATGCATGCCCATAGCTTAGAAAAAACACAGCCTTGGTCAGTAAGTCACAATTATTTGCAACAGGTTAAGGCAATCTTATGTGGACGTCTGTAGGATTGCAGCTGAAAAGTAACTTAACCATTTATTTTCCAATGACAAATTAAGACTGTAAGTTAATAAGCGATACCTTCTTTTCTGGTGCAGCTAATTTTTAAAATATCATTTTACAGTTGAGGCCTCATTTAGTGACAGTGGAGGAGTATTGCATGATTCAAGTGCCAGCTTGTGCTGATTCAGCCTTGTGTTCTGGTGTGGGTATTGAGGCAACAGTAAGGTAGACAGCAGAATAACGTTTTATACCAGAGCCAGCAGCTGGAACTGTTTTAATGTAAGGATCTATTCTAGTTACATTTGAGAGATGGAGATGTAGAGGTTATTTTTTTGAAAAAACTACAATAGCAATTTACTGCCCGGGAGAGCTTTGGCACTCTCCGTGGCTGAAATCATCTTGTGTAAGTTACACAATAGGCACGACTGTGGTCTCAAGTAATCCCTGTAGATGTTACCTGTTGCATGTTGTATATAATAAATAATGTCTATGGAGACTTCTTAACTTGAGACAGTTTGCCCCCAAAAGTTAGAGTTCGCATTATGTCACCTTAAATTGGACCCTTAAATTGGAACATTGGAAGGGGCTCCAGGGCCAGTCATTGTTCTCCATGACTAATGCAGGGAATCCTGGCTAAAGCATCCCTGAAAGATGCTCATTTGACCTCTGTGTAAGAACCTCAAATGATGGAGAGCCGAGCACCTTCGGCCATAGTCTGCTGCACACTTGAACAGCTCTTACTTTTAGGAAGGTTTTCCTAATGATTATCTGAAGTCTCCTTTCTTGTACTTTTAATGAAGTGTTACCTTCTGGAGTTAGAGATTTTGTATACCTTGCTTCGGTTATCAAAACAAATGGAGACTGCAGCCAAGAAATCAGAAGAAGACTGAGACTAGGAAGGGCAGTGATGAAGGAATTACAGGAGATCATCAAGTATAAGGACGTTTCACTGGAGATCAAGACCAAGATCCTCCTCACTTTGGATTGGCGATCTCCATGTACGAGTGTGAAAGCTGGACTGTAAAGAAAGCTGACGGGAAAAGGACTGGTTTGTTTGAAATGTGGTGCTGGAGGAGAGCTTTGTGGATGCCCTGGACTGTCAGAAAGGCAAAAAAAGTTGAAACTGAGAGTGTCCTACTTTGGCCACATCATGAGAAGGCAGGATTCCCTGGAAAAAGACAATAATGTTCGGTAGGGTGGAAGGCAGCAGGAAAAGAGGAAGACCAAATAGGAGATTGACTGATTCCCTAAAGGAACCCTTGGGTTTGAGTTTACATAGTAGAGCTGAGCAGAGCAGTTGAGGACAGGACATTTTGGAGATGGCTCATTCATCGGGTCATTACAAGTTGGAGGTGACATGACGGCATGTAACAACAACTCCTTCTGGAGAATGGCTTTGCTGCATCTTCAGCATGACAACCCTTCACATATTTAAACATGGCTGTCATATCACCATGAAAGTGTTCTTTTGTCAGATCTAAAATATACCCATATCCTTTAACTGTTTGTAACAGGGCTGAGTTTCTGGACCCTTTAGCATCTTTATCACCTTGCTCCCCAGCATGTCCCAGCTTATCCTGAAATGGACAGAGTACGCCAGTACTTTACCAACTTTACTTTAGAAGTAACTTCCAAAGCTCGAGGAATTCTCTCACTATGCAGTTGATAATAGTCCAAACTAAAGCCTGTATTGCTTGATATCTGGTCACTTCCTTGCAGCATAATATTATGTGGGGAGAAGGATCCTTGCTGACCACTTGAGCAAGCTCTTAAGAGGTGGAGGGAGTAACTGCTGATTGACACCATAAACAGAACAGTGAAGAAGAAGTGTACTCAAGGGCTTGTAAATGGATTACTGTAGCACAGCTAGCCTAACCAAGACCTGGTACCTCTTTCAAGGCAATCGTATCTTTTAACAGGCATATCATGAGGATTTATTCTGCAGAATGGCCAATATGGACACAGTGTGTTAAAGGCCTATAGATGACTGTCAAAGATTGTGGCACTATAATTTCAGTAAATCAGTTCCTCTAGGTGGCAAGTATTTTTGGAAATGGAAACTAAGCAAAGTAGACTAAGAAACAAGAGAATGGAAGTATCAAGAAGCCTGGAGGAGTCCTCGTGTTTGCAGAATTGAATAAGGAAACACCTAAATATGCTCCTCCACAAAAAGAGTGCTAAGCATATCCATTATTTCTGGAGTACTGAGTGCCTGTTGAAAAAGGAAAATGGAAGGGATGGTGAATTGAATTGAAATGGGGAAGAACTATTGTGCTTTGAGGCAGGGACTGAACGAAATTAGAAATTCCTGGTTGGAGTCGTAGGTGCAGCTTTTCCAGCTGGTGCTTCAGTTCGGTATCATATTTGCTCCTCTGCCCTTTTCCCTGCTTGGAGAGGTAGGCAGGGAAGCAAAGTCAGCTGAGTCAGGCCTTTCACAAGCTCCTGTAAAGGCTGGTTGGGATCAGGAAATGGTCACAACTACAGTACCTCTGATGACTTACT